TTTTTTTTTTTTTTTTTTTTTTTTTTTTTTTTTTTTTTTCCCTCCTCCTCCCCCCGAGCCAAGGCCTCTAGTGCTGTACCAGGCTGCTCTCCAGACTGGGGGAGCCGAGTATTCCCAGCGTGGCACAGCGTGGTGCCGCTGGCAGAGCTCGGCGAGTGAAGCAGCAGTATTTCTTCTGAGCAGACACAGATGAAAGCTGCCAAGTGTACATTTATTTTATTTTTTTTTTTTTTCCAGCTTGTTTCTATCAATTCTGCTCCAATTAAGTGTTAACTTTACCCTCCTGGCTGGGAAGAGGAGACCGTGTCCGGCCTTAACTTTTTAAAATCAAATCTTTCTTTTATTTAAGGTATTAGGTCTAGGTGATGATACATGATGGCCAATCATGTGCAGCCTCGCTGGCCACATCCCACGTATCGTTAGCCAAATCTCTGTGGCCTCACTTAGTTTGTTGTTCACCAAAGCGTGTGATGCTGAAGGGAACAGAGAGCTGGTCTGGTTATTTAACTTACATTCCCACCACTAAGGGTTATATTTGTTGTAACTGCAGCTAAATCAGCTAATATTTGTTATTCCGTTTAGGAAAAACTCCCCCAAGAGGTTGTTTTTCTCCCATGTTACCTGTTAAAAAGAAGCAAACAAACCCCCATGAATGAAGTCTTTTCTTAGAATATTTTAAAATAATCTGATTTCTAGTTTAGTTCCCTGGATGTTTTAGTACTTTGCAGAGCCCATTTTGAGTATTTGAATGACCAGAATAAAGTTACTGTTGAGTAATTTATTCATATCTTATATGTACAGCGAAATCCTCTGAAAAAGAGATTTGATAAAGGAATAAACTTTTAAATGAACTGAACCACACCTGTTTCCAGCATGAGGTGCTCGACTCCTTGCTCGAGGCATTGATTTTCCTTCTCCCCTCTCCGGTAAGGTCGCAGTCCCTCTGCTTCAGCCCATCTTCCGGGGGTGGCTGCTTTGTTTTATTCACAGACCAGACGTTTTTGTGCAGCCGGTGAGGAGACGCTCGTCCGAGGAGCGTTTTGCCACGTGAGGCTCATCAGGGTGAGATGCCCGGTGGAGGGTTGTGCTCCCCGTTGGGAGGGTTCATCCCTTTCAAACCTTGAGTTGTGCCCTCGGTCGGGCCGCTGCGAGGCAGGAGGCTCCATCCTGGGGCAGCCCGTGTGTTCCCAAACTCCTCTTTGGTGGCTTTGGCGGGATGGTGGAGTCCTGGAGCAAGCCGAGAGGCTGAAACTCTAAAGGTTCCCTTTTATCTTTTTCCCTTTTGGGGTGTAATGGCTCATTTTTAGCACTAGAGGGGAGTTAACGAGGACGGGAGCCGCCGCTGACTCACGCTCTGCTTTTGGCCATTTAAGAGCAACAAAATGTAGACTCCGGAAAAGCGAACGTGGTCTTTTTTTTTTTTTTTTGTCATCAGAGAGGTAAAAAACCAACCCCAACCCCACAGCCTCCGTGTTTCGAAGCCTAACACGTCTCAGCGTGGGGGCTTTGCCTCTTCTCGGGCACTTTAAGGCTGGTTGCATCACGTCTGCTGCGAGAAGGACGTTGGCTCTGGGGTGTTTCAGCCCAGTTTGGGCCTTGGGTGTTGGTGCTGTCCCGTGTTTTGGGGCTGAGGATACTGGGCTGAGCTTGAAGGTGTCGGCACCGGGCGGGTGCTGTTTGGTGTGGCCTTGCCTTGCTGGCCTACGGTGTCACTCCGGCATGTGGCCAATTTAATATCTGGATGCACCAGCTGTGCCCCAAACCTGTCTCTGTTTTGACTGTAATAGCCTTTTCTGCCCTCATTCTATTAATAGAAATATCTTTCGGAAAAAGTGTTCAAAGATAAATTAAATCTCTTCCTCTCTTAACTGTCTCGCAGGCCTTGGGAAGGGTGTGGGAGTCCCGTCACGGAGCTGGTGTTGCCCGCAGAGGGGCCAACTGCAGCCTTAGACCCCCCCCCTCCCCAAGTCCAAGTGCTTCCTTTTGGGGGGGAGGGACCCCGAGAGCTTCCTCGTGCCTGGGGCTGGGGCTTGTCTTGGACCTACCTGCTCTGGGGGCTTAGAGCTGGTCTCCAGAAAGCTGCTCGTAAACGTTCTCGGGGGCCTCGTGCCCGCCTGCGTCTCGTTTCGCGGCGCTTGTCCGGCCGTAGAGGGGCTCGTTGAATGCCGGCG